AAGACATCATCGGTTCCCTATCTTTCTTTTCTTGCTTTTTTTCCCTCACATTCATGATGATAAGACACATTACATACATGCATTGTCAATGATCATGATAACATCATCACATACATTGTCAGAACCAATGATGTCTATCTTCATGGGATGTGAAGTAGTGATCCCTACATGCATGGATGCATGTCTACGAAGATTTAATTGTTGGGATGGGGATAATTTTGGTGGATATGGTTGCCTAATTTACGTAGACCACAGTATTATGATGGGATGGCCGGGATCATGTATGGGTTGGAGATGATGGTCATCGTGGGTTCCATCACATGGACTTGGTTGAATTGTCATTGTCTCATCGATATTCAAAAGTGGGAAGCCTTCTGCCTTCCTATGATCTCCAACTTTCTTTACGTTGAGAGTATTGACAAGGTGTGACCGTGTGAGTGGATGGATGGAAAAGAGGAGAATCTTTTCTGCTTGTTATGTGTGTGGGCCATAAGGCCATGTGAAGCTTCCAAACAGGAAATCCAGTCCATGGGTCGATCGATGTTGGTGACAAGAACGAAACCCAATTGCATAAAAAATAAAAGTAGGAAACCTTTTTCCTTCTCCTAGGGCCTCCTTACTCTATATACGTATCTCTCGTGCTTGTAAAATAAGAAAAGAAATAACCTAGGTAGTCCCACTTCTATAAATTAAACCAAACTAGTTGTATTACCAGATCCCTCTTTGATTTGTTTATTTATTTATTTTTCCTCTAATTTCGTGTCATTTTCCCTTCCATCGATCCATGTAGGGAAAGGTGGGAAAACCTTTACAACCCTTGTATTGGTTTTCCTGTCTTTTCCTTTCTTTCCTTACCTTTTCCTTCAAATCAAACATAGCCTAAAGCTTTTATTTGCTATTTGATTCTCTGAGATGCATGTTTGACCCTATAAGGTTGAGGTGTTATGTCATAGACCTAGTTAATTAAAAGGTTAATAATGTATTGTTAGGGCAGCAATTCTCTCTCTCTCTCTCTCTCTCAAAAACAAATGCTAGTTTTGTTTTATAGATTCTGATGTTAAACATCTTATGAGAACAAAATACATCTCCATTAATATATGTGGTTGTGCCTATACATTAATTAGTTTTCAAATGGTATGGTATAATATAGCAAGAAAAGCAGGGRAAAAATAAAAGAAGAGATCAAATCGGCACATCTACAGCCAGCAAAAAGTTTTCTTGTTTCGTGTTCTATTGTTTTGTTGTTACTGTATGATTCGGTATTGTTCTTGTTTGGTTTTCTGGATGACTGATTCTTGGTTGTACTCTAAACATTATTTAATGAAACTTTGCCATTTGACTTAGAAAAAAAATAGTACATCTACAATTGGGCCTACAAAACCCAAAAATGAGGACCAAATCTTCTTATATGGATAACCTCGACTATCAGCAAATTTCAGTGGGTGCTGTTGAGACTTGATGAATCATATCCAACTTGTTCTTTGGAGTCCGGATTTTTTACCTATGATGACTCTACCCATACCAATCCATATGACATCACAGTCACATATAAGGAATATTTTATGCTCATATATGTTATTCCCAATACACAGACGTAGTGTTTTGTGGACAAGTGTGAATAGAGTTGTGGGTAGGAAATCCTAAATTGGTTTTAAAGTTTTTCAAGTTGTAAGGAATGATGAGATTGGATGATTATACTATACAAACCAAGGAATACAAAGGATAAGACATGAATTGAAATTGAATTCACTTGAATGCAAAACTTGGGTGGTGTTTGTTTGCATTGAATTAATGGACGGATCTTAATTTGAAGTATGAAACAATGACTTTCTAGAAATCCAACTGGTTTTTATTTGGTACTTTGGTTCAACCTCTAAGAAAATTTATTTTTAAAAATTTTGAAGTAACAATGCGTTAAAGGCTTTTTTTTTATTTTTTTTCCAAAATTAATCCTATAAAAATTTCTTTTGGAGACACAAATGTCATTGTTTTATCTTCTTGCCCAAAACCCTTCTCTTTTCAATTTTCACCGACATTTTCCTTTACATTTGGAGAGATGATGATGGTGTTATGATGTATAGATTGTTGAGTGTTGATCTTTACTTTATTCTTTTTCTTTATGTTATAATACTGTTCTGCTCCAAAATTTTAGAGGGGCAAATTTGTAAAATAAACTATTTTTATGTATTATAGCATTTATATATATTCATACAGTTTAATTTGCATTTACAGGAAGTCAATTTTTGACTGTTTTCTACCAAAAAAAAGTTGACCACTCAATGTTAACACACAATGCCTTGGATGAATCCGCCCCGCCCCGTCTGATTTTAAACCAAAGGATAACATTATTTACAGCATGCCGCCTTTTTTTGGCTCCACGTGTCTAATTTAACATAATTGAACAAATAGACAGTCACAGTGCGCAGTGTACACCTGCTCACGGTTCGGTTAACCGTAAAACTTTTTCGAATAAAACCGGTATCATTGCTTTTTGAAAATTCATAAATCAAAACCTAACCGAAATCAATTGGTTAATCAACTGAATTTTTTGGATTTTTGTTTTTTGAATTTATAATATATTATAAATAAATAAATATATAATTATATAATATTTGGTGAGTGGTAATTTGGCCTTCTCGTGACATTGCAACATGTGGCACCCTAGAACCTTCATATGACACCTCAGCATCATGTAAGTATTGACTTCGAGAGCATTTCGAATACATCGCACCTATCTTGACCTCCTCGACCCTACTTTGGTAGGCTGACCTGGGGATGCCCCAGAAGATGTCAAGTCGGTGATTCGGCGTAAGAGGCAACCTACCTCCGTCAACCTAACTAAGGCCTAGTTAGCAACTTACACGACGTGACAAGTGACCTCCTTCATGAGTAGATTATCGTCTTCGACTCCTCCGGTATCATGTCACCATGCCGACGGAATTGACTCTCGTCCCACCCACTTTGGAGGCAACCAGATAAGCGTTATCACTTTATGCGGAGTCCGTTTTCGAGCGTGAAACCACTTATGAATTAGATAGGCCGGTGATCTCAGACACGCTACGTGAAGCCCATGACAACCTACGCCTATATAAAGGTGTTACATTCCTTAGAAAAGATACGTGTAATTAACATTCACAGATCTCTAGCTTTCCAACATTATAAAAACTCTTCATTGACTTAAGTATCGGAGTGCTCGCCCTAGGTAAAGCAACCCGGGTACTCTAACTGTTATTTTGAAGTTYGACCAACTGACCTCACACATCGACGTTTGAACTATCATTCCAGTAAGGAGCCACTAGATCGTGTTGCATCAATATTAAGATTAAAAATATATAATATATTATATTATAATGCATATTAATTAACCAAGTTTCCATATTTTTAGCATGTGTTTTGTCCATTGGCATTTTGTGATAGGCTGCTATGTCATCACCAAATCAGCATTTTTTTCCATCATATTCATCTTTGTATTAATATTCACAAAAGTGGGTTTTAATATATGTGTACACCAATCATTAGAGGAGCTTCATTTTAACGCTTCCCCCAACAGTTGAGCGTTTATTTAATGTTCCACTGATGTGGTGCCTAATGGCACCTAGTGGCACTTAATTGTCCATAAACTATTTATCAAATATTTTTCTCGTTGTTGAAAACAAATGAAATACAAACGTTTATTTAATAAACGGAAGCTATACCTAATAGATACTTAGTATGTATTTGGTTTCGTTTACATTTATTGAGTAAACGCTGCCACATAAGTTGGTGCACAAAAGCAAACATCAACAAAGGCCTCATTAATTGTATCCATACATATCGATGTTTCAAACAAAAGCAAACATCGATTTCTACGCATCGATGTTTCAAACAAAAGCAAACATCGATTTCTATGTGCCTCTCCTGTTTCACGAAGCTTCATGAAACGGATAGGCACTTAATGACACTTTGCTGATGTGATACCTAATGACGCCTATCTATTATAAACACCTTCATTAATTGTTTTTCTCGATTTTACACTCACACAATTACAAAACTTTTACTCAATAATATAAACGAAACCAAACACCCTCTCAAAACCGAATTGATGCCTTTCGTTTTTCAAAACACCGAACTGATCGATTTTTGGGTTTTTGATGAGCAGCCCCATGCACCACCCAAGTCGGTTTGAATTGAAGGCTCGACTGGTTTTAGCTGGACCAAGATTCTGTACCAGCAATTGTTACACGTCCTGTTTCCAGCGGATGCGGATTGGTCGATTGGATATTATAATAAACTCTTTAATGTAAAAAGGGTGATTGCGCCACAAGCTTACGTTAGCAGTTGGGAATATCTAGCCCGGAGCCAGAGGCAGTCGGAGTCAGCCAAGCTAAGCGAGAACGTAATGCTTGGTCCACGTGTCCAGCTCCACCAGTCCAACCCTAAGCCGAGAATCATCTAGTGGGCCATGCTTTGTCATAATTCGTTTTTTGTCTCCACGTGTCCAATTCCTCTCATCAGAACTACATCGGGAAGCTCGAGAATCTCTGTATCAGCAGACAGCAGTAGCCAATAGGGCGGGGTAACTGAATCTCTACGGCGAGGTTGTTGCAAAATCTATACTCCCGCCAATGAAAGAGAGGCCTTCAACAGTATAAAATTACCAAAACACCCTCTATCGTTCATGCCATGCATCAGCCAAAGCACCGCCTTGATTGCTGTTTGGACGTAGCGATTTCGCTAGGATCTTCTCTTCACCAGTGCGCACTACGCACCTAACGGTACCACGTGACAAAGCAATGTTTTGAAACTCCGCTTTTTACGTCTCAGAGACTTTTGTCTTCTAGTCTAGTAGCAGTGACTAGTGAGCAGGCTTCGCTTCACCTATTTAACACGTAAGATTAAATTATATGTTGCTTTCAAAAAAAATATTAAATTATATGGTATAAGATTAATTAAAATTAAAAATAAAATAATAATAACAAGTAGAAGGAGAAGAAGACGATTTTTTTTTTTGGGTAGAAGAACTGAAGAAGTCGATTAATAAGACAGAAAATAGCAGAAACAAACAAACAAATCCTTCGTTTCCGGCCTCCGCTCGCTCAGTTGAAGCTTTTTGGTTTCGATACAGTTCATCGTCTCTGCAGAATCAGTTCAAGAATCCCCTTGGAAGTGAGATTTCAATTTTTGAATCTCGGCGGGATTCTGAAATTCGTCTTAAAATCTAGTCGTCGGATCAAAACTCTCCGGCCGGCAGGTCTAGCAGCTCCGGACCGGAATGTCACGCATCTGCAATGAACTTTTTACGGAGAAGATGGCGTTTTTCATCTTTCTTGTTCTCTCATTGGTGTTTTGCTTTGCGAAATCAGTGAGCTCCGTGTCTACTGATGCAATGTCGCTACTTAGCTTCAAGAGTTGTGTTTCTTTCGATCCGTCGAACCTCCTTTCCAACTGGAATCTATTGAGAAACCATTGTTATTGGTATGGTGTCACGTGCAATCCATTTTCTGGCAGAGTCATTGCTCTGAACATTACAGGGAGTATGACCACCCTGTCGTGGGATTCGGGCTACAACTCAATCGGAAGGGACAATCTTCTCGCGGGAACCCTGGCGCCTTCAATCGGAAACCTAACAGAACTTCGGGTTTTCTCAATCCCTTATAATGCATTCCATGGTGAGATTCCGGCGGAGGTGGGAGGGCTTAAGGTTCTTGAAGTCCTCGAACTTCAGGGAAATAACTTCTCCGGGCGGATTCCTGACCAGATAAGAGAACTTCTGTCACTTCGCCTGCTTAATCTATCTTATAATTTGTTTTCCGGCCCGATTCCGGACAATATGATCGGTTTTACTGGAATCGGAGCTATTGATTTATCGTATAATCAGCTTTCTGGAGGAATTAAAATCGAGCCTTTCAGTAGATGTCAGTCTCTTACTCATTTGAAGTTGTCTGGTAATTTTTTGGTCGACAAGATTCCTCCCGAAATTGGAAACTGCTCCAATCTCAAGTCTCTTTTGCTTGATGGGAACATCCTTGAAGGTCGGATTCCGTCCGAGATTGGTAGGATTTCTGAACTTAAGATTCTAGATGTTTCTAGAAACAGTCTCACTGGTACGATCCCGAAAGAGCTTGCAACCTGCCGGAAACTGTCCGTTCTTGTCCTTACCAATTTGGTTGATGTTATATCTGTTGGCGATAGCTTGGTTGAAATTACCAGGGGAGAATTCAATGCTTTTGTGGGAGGAATTCCTTCTGGTATATTCTTGCTTCCAAACCTTGAGATTGTTTGGGCACCTCGAGCGAACCTCCATGGCCGATTGCCGAATGCTTGGAGCCATTCGTGCAAACTGCGGATACTCAATCTGGCCCAGAATTATATGACTGGTGTCATACCGAAGACGCTGAGAATGTGTAGGTTTCTCTCTTACTTAGACTTGAGTTCAAATCGTTTGCAGGGATACCTCTACCCACAGCTGCATGTTCCATGCATGATATATTTTAACGTGAGCCGGAATTCTTTATCTGGCTTTCTACCGAACTTTGTGAATAGTAACTGTGGCAGTTTCCCAGAGGTGGAACAGAAAAATACCGAGAACACTTACTTTGCTGTCCCTCATTGGTGGTCTGCGGTGAATAATCATTTTGGCTGGATGCGGGATGAAAAATCTGTAGTTTTGCATGATTTTAGTTCGAACAGATTCTTTGGTTCATTACCATTGTTTTCACTCGGAGACAAATTATTAGCAAGCAGCCAGAAAACGTCATACGGATTATTCCTAAACAATAACCAGTTCAATGGGTCTCTTCCTGATGAACTCTTTTCAACCTGTAAAGACATACAGAGTTTTGCTGTGAATTTGAGTATCAACCAGATAGCAGGTGTAATTTCTCAGGGCTTGCTTCTTGGTTGCTTGGAGTTAACACGATTTGATGCATCCCATAATCAGATCAATGGGTCAATTCCTCCTAGTATTGGGGAATCACAGATGCTTCAATACCTTGACTTGAGAGGAAACAAGTTGACTGGATCTGTCCCTGATGAGTTTGGAAAATTGAGGGATCTGAAATGGATTCTTCTAGGTAGGAACAATTTAACAGGGGAAATTCCTGCTCTGCTTGGTCAATTGGTTTCTCTCATGTTTTTGGATCTATCTGAAAATGCTCTTACTGGACCTATCCCCGCAAGTTTGGCAAATGCCACGAAACTTGAAGTCGTGTTGCTTAATCAAAACAAGCTTTCAGGGGAGATACCATCATCTTTTTCAACTCTTGCTAGTCTTACTAAACTAGATGTTTCTTTCAACAATCTTTCTGGTCATATCCCCCATCTTCAGCACTCCCTTGACTGTGATTGCTTCAAAGGGAATTACTTCTTACAACCATGCCCATACCCAACACACCCATCTGGGCTTCCACTCCCAGACCCAGTGAATGAACAGGGTGGTCAAAAGAACAAACTGAAGTTATTGGTGATTGTGATAGTGGCTTCTGCTTCCATCATGGTCTTTATTCTCTTAGTGATGGTTGTATTCCTGGTTTTAGGAAGGAAAAGGCTTGGTGGGTTCTCCAATCTAAGAAGGAAAATGATTGTAACATTTACAGATACTCCAATTGAGTTGACTTATGATAATGTGGTTGAAGCAACAGGGAATTTTAGCATCAGGTACCTGATTGGAACAGGAGGTTTTGGTGCAACTTACAAGGCAGAGCTAGTCCCAGGTTTCCTGGTAGCTGTGAAGAGGCTTTCTGTTGGCAGGTTCCAAGGACTCCAACAGTTTGATGCAGAGATAAGAACATTAGGAAGGATTCGGCATAAAAATCTTGTAACTCTTATTGGATACTACATGGGAGAAGCTGAGATGTTCCTAATTTACAATTATCTCTCTGGTGGAAATCTTGAAGCCTTCATACATGACAGATCAGGAAAAAATGTGTGGTGGCCAGTGATCCACAAGATAGCTCTTGATATAGCAGAGGCGCTGTCATACCTTCATTATTCTTGTTCTCCTCGGATAGTTCATCGGGATATCAAGCCTAGCAATATCTTGCTTGATGAGGCTTTTAATGCCTACCTGTCTGATTTTGGACTGGCAAAGCTTCTAGCAGTCTCAGAGACCCATGCCACTACAGATGTTGCCGGTACATTCGGTTATGTGGCCCCAGAGTATGCAACCACATGCAGGGTGTCTGATAAGTCAGATGTTTACAGCTTTGGTGTAGTTCTTTTAGAATTAATGTCAGGGAAGAAATCTCTGGATCCATCATTCTGTGAATATGGGAATGGCTTTAATATTGTTGCCTGGAGCAAGTTGCTGATCAAAGAGTGCCGTGCTTCTGAGCTTTTCTCCCCAGAGCTGTGGGACGCAGGGCCCAAGGAGAACCTGTTGGGCATGTTAAAGCTGGCATCAGACTGCACAGTGGAGTCACTTTCTGTGCGACCATCAATGAAGTATGTTGTTGAGAAACTGAAGCAGTTACAGACTATCTGACAGCTGATCCTACTGTCTCAGTTCTAGATTGTTGAGATAGAAATCAGGTTATGGTGCTCATGCCCTTGAGGTCATAAATAAGGTCAGGTCAGTTGCTCAGTCATAATAACTGACGATGCATTACCTTGTTTTCTCGCCTGATCAATCAGGAACAGTTTTACTAATATAAAAGATACAAGTCTGGAATCATTATTTACCTGCCCTACACAAGGGGCAGGGGAAAAATATAAAACAACTTGATTTATGAATGTAGTTTTAGTGAGATCAATGTTGACTTACAATATCAAGTAATGTCATAGCTATTCTATTTTACACAAACAACCAAATATGTGCTTGCAGTTGCGTGACTGCTCCATGTAGTTCTGATAGATCAGAGTAATTAGAATGCATACAATTTGGAATATTTGTTTTCTTTTAGAGAGACTCTTGATGGTTGGGACTTTGAGAGCAAGGAAAGAAAGTAGCTGAAGTTCTTTTTGTATACAGTTTCATGACTACTATTGTTCTATATAGGCGAATGTGTACAAGTTTTTTATACAATTCCTTGACTAATATTTCCGTGTGCAGGAATTAACCGGACGGAGCTCAACTAACTTGACAATAACAATATTCTCTCTGCATTACTGAGGTTTCCTACTAATTTAGTTTCTATTGGTTTCTTCTCTTCCTTGTGGTATTAGTAGTAGCAACTTTTATTGTGCTGCTGGTATGATCTGGTTAACATAATGACAAATTTCTTTCATCTGTTTTCTGCAGAGCCAATCAGCAAGTCATTGGGGTATTGCAGGACATGAAATCTGATCTGAAGTACTGGTAATTGATCCAACAATGTCTTGGGTACTATTCAGGTGCTCTTATGCTTGACCTCGTAAACTTATGAGAATTTGATTCTCAGAGAAGTTGTTCCTCCTGAAAACATATATTAATTACCTTGTAAATCTATTATCTTATTGCAAATTTTATTAGGTGGCATTTCGCAACTTCAAAGTAAATACATTTCCTTCCAAAATGCTATTGCTTCCTAATTTTTTCTCTATTTCTTAATCCTTACATTGGTTTACATGTGAAAAATATCATTGCTTGATTGTCTGATCAATTATTGAATCCATACTTGTACAAGTTGCATCTAAATTGAAACACATGCTTACGGTGTCCGTTCATGTGTGCACTTTTTTTTTTTGGGGGGGGGGACGGGGGGTTAGCTTTCATTTTTCATGAGCGATTGATCTCAGTGCTTGCATGCATGTATTAATTCATGTCATTTCCCTTGCATGTGTGTATCTCTGTGCAGTTGCCCAACTGTATGTTTAAGTGACATGATTTTATTTATGATTGATGTATATGTAATATGTTTGTTTTCATACTGATGTTGCTTCATTTATATGTACTTCAGTGCATGAACTTTGGACCTGAATGCTTCCATGATCTTGCATACTCACGACTCACGAGGCCCAGGGGAGAGACCTGGTTGTCACAATCCATATATCATTAGTTAGGAAAAACAATGGCATTTCAATTGGAACAAAAGTTTGAAAAAAAGTGAGAAGTGGGATTCCTAATTCCAAAAGAATGGAAGCCCCTGGTAAATGCTTCTCAATTTTTGCAGTGGATGTTTCCTCCTGAAAGCTCTTTTGGTAATAAAAATAAAATACAAAAAAAAAAAATCCTTACATTGTGCTCCTTCCACAAACACCAAAACACCACTAAAGGTATTTGTCAAAAAACAGGCATCATTAAAGGTTATAAGTTCCAAAGGAATCTTTCAACTGAAAACCACTCACCCCATGCTTGAATGAGGGATTTCATATCCGGCAGGACTCTGCTTTATTTTATTTTATTTTATTTTTTTGGTAGAAGTCAGGACTCATTGATGGCCAAATGGCTTTATAAGGTAGTACCACACTTTGTAAAAGCAAGGAGAAAGTAGGAGATGAACAACTGATTCCTCATTATAGTGACAGAGAGCACAATAGTTTTGGATGTCCTCCTAGAAATAAGGTGGTATGGCAAGGATCTTATCCAAAAACAGTCCACGTATGAAAGCATACCTCCATTGTTATGTTCAGAACTCAAATCCCTCTCCAATGGAACAGAACATCCTCTCCACCAATGAGAGTATGACTGCACAACCTTACAGTGAATTGCCATTTGTGTCTGGGTCCCATATCTTTTTATCACTATCATCCAGTTTGATCTTTGTTTTATGCAACCTTTGGTGCAATTTCAATAACCGACTCAACTCTTACTCATCCAAGTTTTTTATTTTAGACAATTGCCTAGATGTCAACCAGCTCTGCTACCAGCGGTAAGTGCTGGTCTTTATTTTAGCATTCTCATACTGGCAAGCTTACTTGCTGGGTATTGCAAGAACGAAAAGGCTGTAAATGAAATGTTTGAACAGAATAATCACCCGCATTTGACCCAGTTATGTCTCTAGCCTCTAAATTGTAAACATGATGGATCTGCTTCACTATTCCCCCTTAAAAAGATCCAATTCCACCTATACAGAACCTGGACCCGTTAATCTACATGGGACTATGGGAGGGTCTCACCCACATAGACCTGATTAGAGTTCTGACAAAACGTAGATCAAATGTGTACATGTTACTAGCAATCATTTTTATTCTCCATAAATTCCTCAATAATTTAGCCTCAGCAAACTCAAATTAGTGAGAATGCGTTTGCAAATCATGTGTTATGAAATTTTTTTGAAAAAAGTTAACTAATTTTATTAATATCAGCCAATAGGTCTTACCTCTCTTGCTCAGGCCTCTTCCTTGCCACTGAGAAATCAGATCCTGAAGATGCTTAGGAGCCGCCCAACTGAAGCCAACTAAATGTAGAAAGAAGTTCCAGATGCTGCTGGCTACCTGGCAATGTATGAAGAGATGGTCTGTTGTCTCTCCTTCACGTAAGCAAAGGGTGTGGGCGTGAGGGGAGATATAAAGCCTTCCAAGATTTTTCTTCTTCAGTAACTCACAAGTGTTCACTCGCTGCAGGCAAGCCTCCCAAACAAAGAATCTGATCGCATAACTTCATACTGTAAAGTAGAGCCATTATAGGAATGCCAAAAGAAAAAGAATGAACTTGTCAGTTATTGAATTATGACAATGACAATGATATTATACAGGAGGTAGTCCTTTTTATTCCATGAATACCTGAGGTGTACATCTTTCCCTTCAATTTTTTCAATAATTTTTTTTTTATCTTGTTTCTGATTAAGAAATAAATGAACCAAAAATAGCACCATCATTATTCTTGTCTTTAATTCATTACCATCAGTTATTATAATGATAACTTTTGGCTATGGTAGTTTGTTGACATTTTTTAATTGATTCATAATTTTGAATAGAGGTTCTAGGTGGTGGATAAAAGTCACCAGAACCATCAAATGGCACAAGTTTGGATCTTTAGTCCAACCCATTTAGTAAATGGTTCAACTGTGTTGCTTGGACCTGATTATGAATTTGGCTTTGGGGTACTGTATATTGTCAACAACCAGCTGGACAACCTTTTTATATCTGTTTCGACTTTTTGAGGGATTGCAAATAGGGGGATTTGAAAACTCAAAATTTGAGGATTTTCTATTAGGGCTTGCAAATCAACTTCAGTATGATGATATTACTTCCCATGCAAGACTACAAATCAATCATCTTCTATAGGAAGTAGTCGATCCCAAAATTATTTTCATTAGTAGTATATGCAAATGAAATTTGATTTGAGATTGATGTAAATTTTTAACCACACAAACAGGTCATTCGGTTCTGGACAGGTAACCAAGGACCCCATTCCATGATTTATTGCAGTGCAGATCAAAGTTGTAGGCAGTTTCAATTGAAAGTTTACTGAAATAACATAAAAAAAAAAAAACAAATAAATAGAACTCTAATTTGTTGCTTTCCTGAAAATCTTTCGATCATTCGCAACTATTTGCAATTTGAAAATGACCGCATGGCTCCCCAAAGCTTTTCTACAGGTATACACTACATTTATACATTTCTTTTATCGGTGCATTATACATCAAATATTAGTGCTCAACTTTTTTAAAGTTTTCCAAATTGCAAGCTTGTAATTTTGTGCTTGCATGTGCATTTGGAGTTCAAAATTTCATTATTTATTAATGATCAATCTCTGTGCTTGTTGTCTATGATTCTACAAGCGAATCTTTAGTGATCTTGTTTGTATACATGTATCCTTATGTCTTTACACGTAAGCATGTGTATAGTCAGTAAGTCACCTGACTCTCAATAGTTTGGTATATAATTAGATTGCATGTACCTGTATGTACATACTAAGCATATGCAGGTCGGTGATGTATATGAGCTACAGTTATTTGTAGATGAACTTTACGCCTCGGAGATAAGAGAATCAATTCACCTGAAGGCTATGTTTGGTTTGAAGGAAAAGGTAGGGATTGTAAAGGCTTCCCTATCTTTCCCTACTTTTTCCTTCAAACCAAACACAGCGGAAAAGATCCATTGACACATATGTGTTGATATTGTTTCATATATAAATTGGCTGATTTTTATTTTCCTGGTTGCATCCAAAAAAAAAAAGATACAAACTAGATTAGTTACAGTTCTGTCTAAACCTCCAGAAATCTATTAGATGTATTCTTAATATTCGTTCTTTGTATTCATTTATTTTTTGGAGTTAAAACTGCAAGTTTATTTGGTAAAGAAACCATGATGCTCTAATGCACCATAATAGATGTCGCAAACCACCTTGGCCAGTGATACGTTGATGCCTTGACGGGTTCCTCTGCAATGTATTGATTTTAGTTAACTAACAAGTTGTCGGTTTTGGTTCTGCTTTCGTCTCTGCGCAGTACTGGAGGATGCGAAATAGCAAGCCCATGTTTACTGTTTTGGAAGAGGTTGGTGGAAGGCAACCAAAAACTTGAGACATTTGCTTCTAATCCTCGGGAGGGTTTGGTGAATGGAAATATGGAATTATGATAGTTTCAGTCTGAGTGCCATTGACTCCAATGCTGGCGTTAAAATTTTTTCATCAGTCATTTGTAATTTCTCCCTATTTATCTGAGAAATAGTAGAATGGATGGATGTTGTTCTTGCCGTCTGCCATTGCCCATTGATTCAGCTTTATTATTTCAGTCATTTGTCATCCCTGTGATTGGTTCCACATTAACAAGTTCCGTTGTAAACAAACCAAACTGGTCAAAGGGTTTTCAATAAATGCAATACCTTTTTGTTGGACAAAACATGTAATGTTTCTCGAAAAACAAACGGAGATGAGGGAGGTAAAGAATTAAAGGACTTCATCAACAATCAGCCCACCCATCCCCATCCTCCACCCCAAAACAACGTAGGATTTTTTGGGATAAATCATTTGCCCATATAGATAAGCACATGCAAACAAAAGAAACTGGATACATGTTCATCAAAGGTTTACATAGACTGACCATACTGTTGTATTTTAAAGTTGGAAGGAAAATTTACTGAAAGAAAATGAGGTGCCAAAATCTTGAAGACCCAAAAAGCATCGCAATTGCCTGTCAATTCCTTAAGTCATTAGTTATATGCTCAGTTACTCAAAATACATAATGAGGAGGGAAGCATACCTTTAGGTACAAAATTAAGAAACACTTGGTCCCTGCTTTGCCTTCAGCACTAGCTCCTCTGTTGTGGTGCCAATGATCTCATTAGCACGCTTTAAACCTACACAATAATACCTTCCAATGCCATCCTGAATTCACAGGTTAACCCTTGTCAAGCGTGAAGCCCAAGATGACCATCCTAATACCCTCTCATTTGTTAAAAGAAGGGCAAAATAAAGGGCATGCATGCCAATGTTTATGTAGTTATAAATTATAATTATGTCAGGCAGGAAGATCAGTTACATAGATGAAGTCCTTTAATACAATATCTGATTTGCTATGCATAAGTTACTGTGCTCCATGCATGCTTATTGCAAACACATTATTTATCCTGTTCATTTGTGTATGCAAGTGTTGACAATTTCAGCAACAAATTTTTGTTTTCTCAAAATAGATCAATGAGAATCCATTTGAATTGGGATGAAAATGATATAAAAAGAAACTCACCCGAGCAACAATGCCTAGCTTCTCTAACTTTTGGACTGCATCATCCACATCAAAGTTACATTTCTCACCAAATTCTTCTTGAATTAGTTCTTCACACCGATGGTCAAGATCCTACATGATATTACAATAAGAAATCAAATGTTATCTAAGTTCCACATGCTACATATTTTGATTGTCTACATTTACTTATGAAAGTAAGAAACCACATGAGCGATTCATACTTGTCTCGTAGATTTGCCCTGTTCCATCAAAATAAAGAATGAAATGATCACCTCTTTAACCTGCACATTCAAATAATGCACGAACACTAAGATTTAATAAATTCAAAAATCAATTGCTGCTTATATACGAATATACTCAATGTTGATTATGACCTAAAATCCTCATGTCTTGACAGAATCACCATTACAACTTACAAGGATTATCAACTGATACTTACCTTGGGAGACTTCAACAGTAGGATAACCATAAATATTCTGACYGTTGACCAAGGAAAGTTTAGAGTTGATTGAGTCAGAGGCTTACTTTGTATGTCCATCCAATTTGGTGTATGTAACTTCTATGGTATTCTGTCTTCTATCCATGTAAGTTTGCATGTCCATCCAGTTAAGGCATTTCTTTTTGCTTCATGGGGCTACACAACTGCCCAGTGGGGGGATGCCCCCCACCCCCCCAACACACACAACCAACCCCAACCCAGGCCCACTAGTGACAGCGGGATTTGATCCCAAGTCTTTGCTACAACCAGCTAGATATCATACCCCAATTGAGCCAGTTGGCACTGTCCAGTTAATACATTCCTTTTCCAAATTTAAAAGCATTCAAAAAATTGAACAAACAGTCAGGACTCGGAAATCCATCTGAGTGCTCAGCAATTTGAGAAACCAGATCATACCATAAGCTCTTGTTCTTCAAAATTTTCTTATGTGCTTTTTACAAAATTTATAGGACTGAACCAAATTTGAAGTCAAGCAAAACTAAAAGTTAGAATTTCCATAACTAATTGCATGGAATTCTTTCTTCCTTTCTTTATTCTATTCTGTTGTGCTTGGGGGAGGGGGGCTTGCTTTCGAGCTTACTGGACTCATTCACCAGTCTGAGGACTCATATCTGGATTCAGGAAGTTCTGTGTCATGTATAAAAGATATCCCATCTGAAATTATTTATGAAACAACAACACAAACTAATATATTCGTGCCAATCACTTCACAAGAAATCTGTTCAACAGGGTCCATTCTTTGTTGTTTCTCAACCCTCTGTATATGATACATTGTCATGGTCATTTGAATGCATCCACCTAGATTGTGTTCTTATACCATCTTGTCTTCTTTATCAACTCTTAATTCTGTAAAATGGTGGCAGACTGGAGATTTATTATGTGATGGACAACATTTTACACAACAAAGTCTACTTATGGCTTGGAACCCACTTCCTGTTGAATCACATCATCACATAAGTGAAGAAGAGTCCCTCTCCCGCTATCCAGTTGTTTGTCATACATCGATTGCGTAATTAAGTTCTGATATGTCGCCATGTTTTGCTGAAACCTACATGAAGTGCACAGAAATGTTAACTGTATTTGTGATGAGAAACTCAAAGCATAGAAAATCCAGACCTATAAAATAGCTTAACCATGACAAAACTAAATCAGCTGATGGCTGGTGTTTCTCTTTTTTTTAATGATAAAGGCAAGACTAAATGGTCTTCAGGCAACCCTCCTCTCCTCCATGAATGGATTATACTCAAATCTTTGGAAGGTAGAAGCTCCCTTACCCTATCTTCTTAATCTGGGGAAAACAAGAGAAGGAAGGTTTCACAGGATACTGAACCTGAGTGCCAGAAGAAACCTAATGGCATATATGCTATTAGGACACTCCACTAATAGCTTGCATATAGTGGAGTGACCTACTTAGTGGGAATAGTAATGGAAATATTCCACATTCTAAGTTGATCTGAATGCTGATCAAATATATCTTGAGAAGAGTTGATCAAATGATTATAGCCCTCTATCTTGTAACACTGAAGGCCAGAAGTTGGCAGCTTGGCAAGGCTTAAAAATACTGCACCATTCAATAAGCTTAAATTGTAGTATGGGAAATCTGTGGCAGAAGCCATCATTTAATGGGGTCACTCCAATGCCAACATGGAACCCAAGATGATGTTCTACTCCAAGTGGTATAACTGATAAGATCTTGAATGTACTCTAATGGTGGATTTCCACAAATGAAAAGAAAATAAAGAACAAATAAGAGAATAATAGATAGGGGAAGTAGTCATTCTACCCAACCCACCCCAGGATTGGAGTCTGACCAACTCAAAAGATTGGACAATGGAATTTCACCATCAAGAAGAGTCTCATTTTTCAAACCACGATGAACTTTAAAAGAAAATAAAAACGCCATTATTCAATGTTGGTCCTAGCTATCTGGGGTCTTGGGAGGGGTAGACTGGATATGGTCCTAACCTTTGGCATAGTTTTGCACAAAGTGGCTGCTCACAGACACAAATTCCATAACACTCATTCACTAAAGTGGAAATGGGGAGTACAGTGCCTTGTAAAAAAGAATACTAGCAAAGCAAAAAAGAAAGAAGCAAAGGTTACTTAAAATACCAAGTACATAAAATATTCTCTTACTGATCTTATCTCTTGAAAATCTTCTTTCAAATATTGCTCTTCTAGGTTTTTGCATATTGTGATTGCTAGAGTAGGATTCACTTTAGTCCATGGTTCAAGACTGGGTTGTGGCCTGTGGATTATGGGCCTTAGGTACCATGGTCTGAGCCATGGAATGACAAGAATAGGCACTTCTTTCTTGGGCTTTAACATAGGGCCTTCACGTGTGTATGGGCCTAGCATTACATGGATCATGCCTATCTATGCTACATCATATTACCATTGTGTCATCTACCCAAAAGAAACAAAGCAAACTATACTTAACGTGAAATAGATCTTAGCACAGTAGCCAATAAGTCCAGAGAGGATGGCAATAATGACCCAGATATCAGCTTTAGGCTTTTCAAGTGAACCAACAAGAGTAACCTGTAGAGAACCATGGGAGATGCACCAGAGTTAGATGGTGAAAACAAAGAGTGTAGCCATAATCTTTAAGGATGTTAAAGAACTAACCAGCCCAATAATAGCTGAAGAAATAAACTGAACCCAGTCCATTGGTGTTAAAGTAGGATTTTTCTTCTCTGGCTATTGAAAATGAAAAAACAAATTGTAAGGAACAAAAACTGTCAAAAAACTCATACATCCAAGACAAAAGATTACCCAAACAAAAGTAGAAAGACTCACCAGAACTATTTCCATATCGGCCATAGGGATGTTTTTAAAATGCTTTACATATATTCCTCTTTCATTCTTAGTTTTAGTAYTTGCTTGTCTGTGAAACTACCAGTTCTGTTAGATACCATTCGTAGATTATGTTCATATTCTGTTATTTACATGGCACAAAAAAATTGAGAAAAAAGATTACTATTTAATGTGTACAAGCATAGAAATACAAGGAAAATAATCCTCAATGTATAGCATTTCCCTGAACTGCTATATAATTCTTTCAACCTCTAAAAGAACATTTGGATCAGATATAATCAATTAATTAGATTTTTTTACCTTAAAAATCTCTTGTGTGCTTATCAAACAGGAATCCCCATCTTAAATACTACAGGAATGAATTCAAAGAGGAACCCTTTTATTTGTTGGAAATCTCAATTTTCAATCAACCAATCATAGTAAATAATAATATGAAAGAGCTTATACCTGTATACAACAATGATCCTATCGAATGTTGGTTCTTGAATTGTGATCTTGCTAAGCAGATTATGTATGCTGGATTGAAATGAAAAACAAGTGTCACAAAAATACCCATTTCCTTCATTAATATACCAAAAGTTACCAATGGATAAAATATTTCATGGTTAGCCATAGTGTTGAATTATATGAATCAGGCTTTTAAAAGTACATACACAAAAAAAAAAAAATTCAAATCTTACGTGTTTGTGTTTTTCTTTAACTACTTAAGAAATGGCATACAAATACCATTACATTATTATACATAAGAGGGCTGGTATAATAGTTTTGGCAGCATGTAGTTAGATCGGGTATAAAAAATAGAAAGGCATAAAATAAAAGACAAAGAAAGGTGGGGGAAATCTTTAGGTTTTCTTCCAATATGGACTATGCTGTTAAGATGTTGCCAAAACATGAAGTGCTCTGTCTCCAAATTCCAAAACGTGTCTATCTCCCACTATTTTTAATGGAAAATTGGCATTCGTTGTGTAAATTATCAATTCATTTATGTTAGATATAAGGAGAAAAAGAAAATGCCACGATACAAGTGTTCTTTAAGAATCCATAAAATTATCAGTCTGATGCATGTCTGACATGGACATTTAATCCATTTGTGAGAGAGTCCATGCGGCACTGGTGAGAACTTAGATTTGAGCCTGAGTGGGCACTTTGTGTAAAATAAAATGTCAAAGATCTTTACCAAAAAAATGTCAAAGATTAAGCCCATATCCAGGCTGCCCCTCCTAAGACCCCAGATAGATGGGGCAAACATTGGGCAATGGCCTTCTTAATCTTTTCTTGTGGTTATCTAGTCGGAGTCTACAAACCAACTAGTGCATTTCTTAAGGAGATAAATATAACCAGTTTTTTTTGTGAATATAAAAATGACCAGTCATCACCTTATTGTATTGACAACAATGGTTAAGCTCATACACCAACCACAAGGATACTATTCAAGCCTGAGTTCCATATTTTCAATTCGGATTCGTTCAAAATGTAGGTCCTTTTGCTGCAATTCAGTGCTTATTTCATCTAGCCAGTGTCTACACACCAACTAGTCAATGCACTGCCTAAGGAGATAAATATGGCAAGTCTTTTTTATGAATATATAAATGACCAGTCATCACCCCATTGTATTGACAACACTGGTTAACTTCATACACCAACCACAAGGATACTATTCAAACCTGAGTTCCATATTTTCAATTCGGATTCGTTCAAAATTTAGTTCTTCTTGCTCCAATTCAGTGATTATTTCATCATTTTTCTTTGGATCCTTTGACTGTCTTGAACTTAGTTTTCTGGAAAGGATACATTCTAATCTGCAAACAGAACAACCCACAAAAGCAAAACAATACAAATTACAACCACAAAGAACATAGAGCCACCAACATGGAAAAACTGGAAACAGTTACACCACATGCTCATTTCATAAAATGTATTGTTTTGTAGCAGAAAGTCCATAGAAAATGAATGAAGCACTTAACTAAATTTTTGGCATTATGCGCACAGTCATGAATCATAGGTAAATTTCCATTCCTTGATTTTGCCATGACATTTTAAAAATTCAAAAGCATTCAATTGTCGAAATCGATTATTCCCAAGAACGATCCTCAAATATGTTATGTAAATGAATCATCATTATATGTTAAGAATAATAACACTTGCCTAGTTACTTTGAGAATCCATGCCCATAAACGTGCAATGATCATATCCACTTTCTCCATGAAAAAGTAATCAGTTGTGGAATCAATTCCAGTGCCTCGACGAAATATTATGTACTTTCCATGCACAACAGATATCCATATAAGTCTTATGCCTCAAAGGAAATAATACAATAATAAATATAGAGAGCAGGGAATTAATGGTACATCAGCTACCTTTTAATTCTAAAAGAGTTAAAATAAAATAACCACCAATTCTATCAGAGAAAAGTTTATAATGGCACAGTGGTCGTAAAGATTCATAAGGTTGCAATTCGAAATACAAAAGGTTAATACATATGCTAGAAACATATCAACGATAAAGATGAACAGAAAATATCTCATGGTACTCATCTTTTGCTTTTAAAACCCATTAGACAAATCACTAGCCTTTAGTCAAAAGGGTAATCAACATCAACACTCTGAAACCACAAAACATAAATGAACCAACTTTTAACAGCCAAAGAATACAGAAATGCATGAAGTTGGTAACTAAAGATTGAAGCCTAGGGATAAATCCTGATAATCTGAGTCCAACTGGAGTCCAAGGTCGTCCAGTAGGATGTGGGAGTATCATAATCAACTTCATTCTTTAGTACAGTGAGAGACATTTAAAATGGTCAAGGATATAATATTCTCAGTCATATGACAACCATACATACACTGGGCATGCAGGGTAATTCCATTGGTTCATAGTTCCCAGTAGGCAATGTTAATTAGAGAGCCTTTTAGACATTCAGGAAAAAAAGCTACAAAAAATCTAGGAAATGTTCTTCTTTAGGTAACTATGGGCATGGAGATATCCAACAAACAAAGCATGCCAAACATATTCTTATAGTATTTAAAAGATATCCAGGGCACTGAAGCTTACATCTATGTTAAAGACAACTAAAACAGTTAACACCAATCCATACAGTCAGATTTCAAAAGGAAAATACCTTATCTGCAAACTCTGGGAGGTTTTCATGAGGATGCTCATAAAAAAACCGTTTCAAGAGCTTCTTATCAAGCTAAATCCAATAAAACAAACAATCTGGATCACAAAATTTTAGAAACAGATGAAAAATATTGAAACCAATAAGAATATTGTATATGGAGTCTAACCTTTGATTCATCAACTGTTATAGGAAGATTTAGGAGATACTGCCCAGATTGAGCAATTTCAATCTCCTCATTTGTTGTTATCTTGAAATTGCTTTTATCCATCACCTGATCGATCAAAAGGAAAGAAAAGAAAATCAAAGGATTACAGTTCTTCTGCCAAGTGAATTTACAGAACAAAACAAAATCAATTAACAGAACAAAAAATGTGTTAACTCTAAAGGTACAACTGCAACCCAAAGATGATGAAAGAATATATGATATGTCAACTGTAAATGAAAAATGTCAACTTCATACTATATTTTTAGAAGGCAATAAATAGAATATATATCCCCAAATATATTAAACAAAAATGCATGAATAAGAATAACAATTCATGTTTAGACAGAAGAACTAATGCACTCTGACCAAATTTTCTTTTGTAAAAATGACAGTATTCAGTGGAATGTAGAGGCAGACGTCTTAAAATCAATGGCTGTGTTAACTGATACTAGAACCTTATTAATCTCAAGAAGCAAATGTTTCTAGATAGAGAACCCTACGTGAGAAATATTAACCCTATCATACTTGTTCATTATCCTGGAAGTGGATCTACTACCATAGATTTTTCCCAATATAACCGCCTTATTTTTCATTTTACATCAACTTCCTTGATCTGCACATGTTCCATAACATTTTCCATCAAGTGAACATTCTTGGCACATAAAGCAGTCAATCCTCAAAGCACCGTCTGTGTTTTACTTTTGAGTCCATTTTACCTTGTTTAATATAAAGCAGTACATGGATAAAAGAAAACAGACGACCCATTCCCTATACATAAAAGGAAGAATAAAAAGTTAGGCTATCCCAACTGGAGAAGTCATCAGGCTTGCAACCAGAAAAGGCCTTTTTTATTTCATTTGAAGGGCTACACAACGGGAACCAGAAGATGCCTTTTTAACTTCCCAATTACTGACTTTTCATTCAGTCTTCCCAACAATGTCTATACAGCTATGCTTCTCCTTTCAAATATTCTTCACTTTCTCTCCTTCCACAGACAAAAATAGAGCAAACAGCAATAGGTTCCATAAAATTCTACCACTAGCACTGAAATCTTCCACCAGCCATGAAGATATCAACATAGGGAGATTTTCAGGTGTCACCTATCCCTTCTAAATAACTTTAATAAATAGGACCAGATTCCAAAGATGAACTAACATTGAATCAGCTGAAGCCTAATAGATATAGAAATGATAAAGAGTTCTGTAATGCTTAAGAAATATATTACTCATTAGTAAAGCTTGTAATAAGAGAACCAGCTATAATGTTGCTTACATAAATGTGGTTGCTAAGATGCAAATCATGGAAGGAACTAAGACTTCCTCTTGGGTACGCTTATAGATAGGAAAAGTGTGTTTAGGGAAAATGGTGAACAGAACTAACTAATAACAGCACAGAAACATGAGTCGAAAATATGAAACTTGAGAAGTTGAGATCCATATAGTGGTACCAGTTTTGGTAAGAAGAGATACCATTAGTGAGCATTTTGAGAAAATAGAAATATGTTGTTTGGTTTTGTTCTTAAAAACATTATAGTGCATACTAATAGAAGTTACAGGATATGCAAAGGACAGCTGACCTGGAACAAGTATGTCAGGAAGTTCTGCTCAAGATCATCAATTTCTTTCGAAGATAGGTTCTGCTGCWCCAAGTTCTTAGATCCATGAACAGGGTCAAAGAGGGAATACAATTGCTATAACAAGAAAAACATATATTTAGCTGAAATAGAAAGGTCAAGCAAGAAAGGGTTCAATATAATAACATTAGTCATCACTAATCAGAACTATGAGAATAGAAGAGTGTAGTTAAACAAAGACCAGAAGGACTCATTTGTACCATCAGATCTTCAAATTGAAGAAGATACCAAGCACGAATTATGTATTCAACTTTTTTACAGAGCTTTAGAAATTCTGAACGGTCTGAATCAAGTTCTGCAAGAAAATACAAGAAACTATAAAATGTGCAAGTGGAAGAGGAGCCCAGTCTTGCCAAGACAAAAAATGTTTTGAACTAAAGAAAGGAAAACACCATGCTTGACGACCATAACAACGAATGAAAAATCATAACAGCAAAAGTCTAAATACCATGAAATGGAAAATATTAGAACAATCATTACCCAAGTCTCAAGCTATTTCATAAGAGCAAACATGTCATATAGAAGATCGAAGGATGAAAAATCAAAATCATCATCATCCAAACCTTATCCCAACTATATGGGATCAGCTACACAAATCTTGTTTCACCATTCCATTCTATGTAATGCCATATCCATAGTTAAATTATTGGCTCTTAAATTGTTTCTTACTACTATGTCCTTTTTTGTCTACCCCTAGCCCCTCTAGCACTTTCAACTTGCAACAAATCACTTCTTTTTGCGGGCGTTATTGATGGTGTTCTATGCATGTTACTATACCATCTTAGTCTACTATCATTTTATCACCTAGTGAAGCTTCTCCTGGGTTCCTTTGAATGACTTCATTTTTGTTTCCATCATTTCTAATTTTTCCATTCATCTATCTTGGCATGCACATTTCTGCCACACCCATTTTTTGAACAAGTTACTTGATGCCCAAGTCTCTGCCCCTTACAACATAGCTAGCCTTACAACTGTTTTATAGAATTTTTCTTTTAATCTAAGTGGTATCCACTTATTACATAAAACTCTACATGCACCAATCCATTTTGCCCATCCTACTCTAATTCTATAGGTGGCATCCTCCTCAATCTCTCTCTTGTTATGAATTATCAAACCAAAGTACCAAAAAAGGTCCCATTGAGTAATCTCTTGGTCTCCAATATTACTTGTGCCCATATTTGCACTCCTGTTATTATTAAATTTACATATCATATATTCATTTTTAGTCCTACTTATTTTAAAACATTTTGCTTCTAAGGCATTTGTCCATAAACTTAACTTTGCATTTAATCTATCATTAGTTTCGTCAATTAAAACAATGTCATTAGCAGACAACATGCACCACAGGACCTCTTCTGAATATATTTAATCAATTCATCTATCTATAATTAGTGCAAATAAATAAAGGCTAGGTGTTGACTGAACATTGGTGGTGTAGACCCATTGTAACCGTAAAACCTGAATGCATGATAAAAATAAATTGATAAGTAGATCGACACTCACCATGCAAAAATTCAACAATGACAAAGCAAATTTAAAGCATATGCACATAGATAGGCACGAAGCGGATCAAATAGAAGTGCAGAATAGAATAGTAAAGCAAACAAAATCCAAAAGTCATGAAAAGAAAAAAGTCAAAGGTGAAGAACTGAAAGAAAATTCAATTCTGTCAGTATCTCCTCCTCTTTCCAGTGTTTTTACAACGTGAATTATTTCATAACAAGCGAGTAAAGATAATGGTATTGCTGAATATTATTCAGTATAGGAATTATGAAAAATCAAACAGAACTACTAGATGGAAATACCTCATCGAATTTAAGAAAAATCAAAACACAAGCAATCGATGGAAAACGACAAGGAGATGCTTCCTATCATACCAATGAGGTTAGCCAATGTCATAATAAGCTTGGGCTTCAAAATTGGGATAACGGATTCCCTCTCCAAGCGTATGACGTCTTTGTTTCTTTTATTCATCTTTGAATGTGCAAATATACGAATCAAGCAAATCTTTCTCTCTCTCTGAGTCCGGAATCCAGGTAAGGAAGAACAATGAAACAGGAAGAGACAGAAAGAAGGAAAAAGATGGAAGGAGACTTGAAAATCTCATATTAGAGAGGTAAGTGAAGGGTTTTCTTTCGAATCCGTTGATTTCGAGCTTAGCAGGAAAGGAAAACCAACGACAATGTCTACTCCCATTCTCAATCAGCTGAGTCATGAGTACCCGTTTCTCCCTCTCTTTCTCTCTCTCTCTCTCTCTCTCTCTCTCTCTCTCTCTCCGACTTATTGTTTTCTTTTTTTGCCTTCTGTAACGMCCGGTGTTTTCGGGCCTCGGAGGAGGGAATTCCTTCAAGATCGAAATGAATAACAACGATTATAACGTGGTGGTTTGCCATGTTCCACGTGGCAAGTTGGTTTGAGACTCGAAATGGCGCCTGCATGTTCCTCCGACTCAGAATCCAATATCGGACGATATGGGTCAATCATGATACACCAATCAGYCTGACGGATATGAGCTACACTGCTACAGTGTACGAATCTGACATGATGAATGGTCAAGTCCAATTTAGATATATTCCCCACAGAACACGTCTCATACCAATCGACCTTACAACCACATAATATTCCCGATGTACGGCTAGAATAGGTTGTAAGATTGGTATGAGACGCGTTCTGTGAAGAGCAAATTCGAATTCCGTGAAATCGAATTCACATCGGTGCCCCACAAGTGTACTTGTGCATGTAGGGCGATGATGTAATCTCCGTGAAGTCGTGATTCGCCCGTACGAGGAATATGTAAAACCATCTGAAACACATTCTTATCCGTCACGTATCGTTTCTTTTGGTATTAACTATTACAGAAGAATTGCCAATAAGCTCAAATAACTAATCTGCCAATTATGAATGTTTGTACGGACAGCCTATTATTTTCCAAATGTGCCAACCCGATCGGCCGCAGAGTTGGCTTCTAAAACTTCGTACATTGGCTACGATTAAAGCCTCGGAACATAGGAAATATTCATCAATCATAAATTTAAAATTTGGGATAAAAATAATTTTTAATATAATTTTTAAAATAAATTATTTTTTTTAAATATACTAAATAAAAACAAAAATATTATTCATCTTCTTCCTCTTCAAACTACTAAATAAATTTTTCTCAACTAGTATACATGTTCGAGGACACCTAAATTAGGACAAGTCCACTTTAATCCTCTCATTTCCCTTTAACTTCCACTTCAATCGCTTAATCTGCAATACCCTTTTCCAATCAACACTGAAACAAAGCTTGGGTTCATCACTACCCACGCTACAATTGTCGACAACACCTGGTTGGGCTTCCCTGTTTTGGTTCTGTTGTATGTTTCCCTCTAAGAATAATCGAAAATAAGGGTCATCACACCGTCAACGACGATGGCAACGTAGAACGCAAATTGGGGTTCAGGGCCGGAGGCGACGAACTTGGCTCTGGTGAGATCCTAGTAGATTTCAACATTCTTCTTCTTCGACAATGACATTGGTGGATGGTGATCATTTAGGCTTGCGAGGCTAGGGCGAAAGCAAGATGAGAAAGAGTCAGAGAAAGAAGATGAATAGTGTTTTGCCCTTATTTGATATATTTTTCAAATAGTTAACCTATTCTAGAAATTATATTAAAAGGATTGGCCCAAAAATTGCCCTTATCACCTATAATCCCATAATTAAACTACGACTACTATGTTTAGCAATAAAAGATAAGAATGTATCTTATAATTTGTATAATCACTTAAAGTATCCCTATAGTTAATGCACATAGTCACCTTTAAAATCAGTTCACCATTAATATTTGCTAGCATATGATGTCATGTGACATTTTAATTTTTAAAAATTTTTAAAATACCCTTTGGTCTTTTCAAATAATGGACAAAGACTCTTGTTTCTCTTCCAAAAACACTAGAACTACAAGGCAAAGACACCAGTTTCTCTTCAACGGTATCAGAGCTACGAGCCTACGATCACAATTTACAACAAACACAATAACATGATTGATCTTCAAAACAGTTGAGAATGGGTGTGGCTGTGTGGGAGAGAGGTGTTTAAAACTTTAAACTTGAGGCCATGGAAATGTTGCGAGCAAAGCAAGATTTTTAAAATGAAATCTTGATATCCAAATTTCCAGGTAAAGGAAAACAATTCCAAATTTCCATCCATGGGAACGTTGGATTTGTGTGGTTCGAATGAGCAATTTTTCGGGCTGATTTCTCTCTCAAACAAGCAAATAATGAGATTAAGATCTAGAGATCCCCATTCCTTTCTTTCTCTCTCAAACTGGGATGTGCTTCATTCCTAAAACTAGTCGATTTTAACTCCAAAACCTGTAGGATTTTCAGTATCAAAATGGATTTTGATTTTCGGTCTCCATAACATCCATTCCGTTCATGTCACTTGCTCTCTCTCCCTTATCCCCTTGTTGTACACGCCTTTATCAAAACTTTAGTAACATTCCACATGACATAACAAGTGTGTGAGTATTCTCATCCATTTGACTGCAAAAAAAAAAAAAAAAAAATCCCATATGGGCATATAAGCAAAAATGTGTGTATGTAAGAGAAAGAGAGAGTACATCTGAGCGAGAAAGTTAAGCAGAAATAGCAGCAAATCTGAGCAGAGATCTAGTTTTGGGACTTCATATCTTATTTTTCTGATAGACATCCAAAGTAGAGTTGTCATGGCATATATGGGCGGAGATTTGGTTTTGGGACTTCATATCTGATTTTGTTGATAGACATTCAACATAGAGTTGTTAGGGAAGATATGGGCAGAGATCTGGTTTTGGGTAGGGGTGCAAATGAATCAAATCATGATCCGATCTAACCTGAAGTCCAGTCCTATTTTGGGTCTCGTATCAGATTCGGATCACCTCTATCCGATCCGAGATATATATTGTTATTTATATATAATACATGTTATTTATATTGCATGTTTGTAAACTTTTTATATTATTTTTTATTAAAAAGTGTGTATATATATGATAACGATAGTTAAAAAAATACTTGTGTTTTTTCTTTATTTAAACTATTATATTTTCTTTCCATTTTAATAATTTATTAGTTTTTTAAAAAAATGAAGTTAAATCGATCATATTTGGATATCCAACATATATTCTGATCGGATTCAAATTCAATTTAATTGGTACTTATGAGATCCAATCATATCTTCGGATCATATGCGAATCCAATCCGATCCGTTTGCACCCTTAGTTTTAGGACTTCAGATCTGATTTTTTTGATAGACATCCAACATCTAAACTTGTTAGGGCAGATCTGGGTGGAGATCTAGTTAGATTGTCTAGTTTTCTTCTAAAAACCTTGCTTTTTCTTCCCTCTAAAAGGATGTTACATTTTGAAAATTTGAAGAAAAATCAAGGATAAATTAGTCTTTTTGATCTTTCTGTTACCAGTTCCTAACGGTTGGCCATTGTTAGAAAACTTAAGGGTCTTAGCTAAATCATAGGGTTACTTTAAGTATTTAACCCTAAAATTTAATATTCAAAGGTGGGTCATTAAGACCTCAACTATGGAACCTCCTTCACACCAATGATCCAAAAATATAAACTTGATTATCTTATGAGTTATGAAAGGCGCTTATGCTTTTGCTTTTTTTTTCTTCTTTCATGGGGCTACACAACGAGGGTAACCCATCCCTCTCCTTAATCTCCCATCCAAGCCTTGGTGGCAACAAGATTTGATCCAGGTCTCTATTTTGGAGAGTCAAATATCCTACCAATTGAGCCACCATTAGTTGGTTTATGCTACCGTTGTATTAATTGCCTACAAAATAGTATCTGATGTAACCGTTTCCGATCACGTACCAATTCTTGTGATGTATCAATTTTTTTGGCTAAGTACCTCGTCATTTGACCTGCTCCCAGGAGATGATGGTGGAGCTCCCTGGTGGTGAACTGCCTGGGGGAGAGCTATGCTGAGCTGCCCGAACTATGCCGAGCTAGGGAGAACTATGCCGAGCTCCCTGATGGCGAATTGTCTGAGGGAGAGCTATGTCGAGCTGGGGAGAACTATGCCGAGCTCCTTGATGGCGAACTGCCTGGGGGAGAGCTGTGCCGAGCTCCCTGATGGTGAGCTACCTTGGTGGACTCGTCATTTGACCTGCTCCTAGGCGGCCTGTAACTCAGAGGGTGGTGGAGCT